TCAAGACAAGAAAAATACAGGCAAGGAGGGGAGAGAACAGGGAGTGCTGAAACTCTTCTCTTACACAAAGTCCTACTTGCAAGCTTAGGAGAAATGGGCTCCAGGGTCAGGTGAATGTTTCCCCAGCCCTTGTTTTTTTTAGACCCTTCTCCATGAAAAACTGCACCCAGTGGGACAAATCAGTGTGATTAAACATGATGCTGAAGAAGGAGGGGGATAGAGAAGAGAGGAGGGAGGGTTTGCTTTTTGGCAAACCCCTCATCCCCCAAATGGGATGAGGCACATCCTTCTACCCCTGTTATTGGCGCTATTTGTGGAGGAAACCCCAAATTAGCTGGTCTTAAAGGGGGACTTGTGAAGGTGCTGCCTTCACAAGCAGAGAAGGGCTATAGACTTACTCGTAGGTGTATAAAATCTGCCTCTTTGGGTCTTTCCTGCAGAGTTAACCCTGGGTTGAGTTCAAAGTTGGGAGCTGGGGATGCTTCTCTGCACAAAATGGAGGTTAGAAGGCCTGAAAGCCTGCAGACTCACCCACGTAATGAGTGACTCCATGTCCTGGAAGGTCTGTCCGGGCTGGGTGAGGAGCTGTGTTTGCCCAGGTGTGAGCAGAAGCATTGTTCCCACCAAACAATATCCCCCATCGGCTCTGAGGTCGTTCAGGTCCTGGGTCAGCCCAAGTGCAGGAGAGGAATAAAGGCAGCAGGGACGCGTGGCTGGTGTATGCTCGGACCTTGGAAGGGAAAGCAGAGTCTGGTAAGGGACCCTCTCTTGGGGTTTTGCTTTGGGGCTTTTCTGTGTCTTCCTTCTGGGTTTCATGTCCACTGGCACCATCCCAACACACCCTCTTAAATCTCCCCGGGACGAGCTTCCACTTATTTGAATACCCCTATTTTTATACTCATAAAATCGGGCACTTTGCTAAATCAGCATCAAACTTACACTTTTTGGTGAGAAAAATAGCAGAAATCAGGGTCTTTGGCAGCCCGGCTAGCTCAGTCGGTAGAGCATGAGACTCTTAATCTCAGGGTCGTGGGTTCGAGCCCCACGTTGGGCGTTCAAACTTCTTTTCCCCACCTTTGTTTGCCCAAACCTGTCTGCTTCTGGGTAGACAATTGCCAGTGCCATGTCTAAGCAACAGGTGGAAGCATCTTAGGAAACAAAGAAATGTGGGTTTTTTTTCCTCATAAGTTCATTTGATTCACTTGGGAGATTTCTGCCTTGAAAGCATGGCTACTAAAATTAATAAAGCAGAAAGGTGGAACTGGCTGTATTTCAGCTTTGTAAGGTACTGGAGGATTGTCTAATAATGTGCTTCAAGTTTCTCTACTTGTTTTGCCCCAAAAGGGACATCACGAACATCTGTACTGAGGTCTTTGCCTGGTTTTCCCCCTGCTAGAAGGCTGATCACTGAGGAAACTCATTACAGGGATTAATGAACTGCCTGAGCCATTCTCATTCGTAGGTAACCCTGTGCTGGACTGAGGTGCGGCTGGGAGGTCAGGATCTGTCCCCTTTCCCAAGATGAAGGTGCTCTTTGTGGGGCTGATCCTTGTCTTGTGCATCGGAGTCGGTAAGTGGAGGGTCACAGTTAAATGGGATTTAATAAAGGACAGGGGAATATTTGATGGTGGTTGGATGGGTATTGCCAAGCCCTTGATGTCTGCAGTGTTGTCACCGTGTGAGCAGGGTGCCATCTGCTCTAAGTCTACAGTCAGTGGAGAGAAATCTCTGCAACTGTTTTCATCATTGCTTGAATGAAAATGACTTTTTCACCACTCCCTTCCCAGGGGAGCTATTAAATCCAGAGAGACCTTCTCTGGGCCAGGAGCTTCAGCTGTAGGTTGCTGGATCCTGGGCTAGATGTACACCCGCTCTGCCCCAGAGAGCTGTTGTGATGGTCTTGCTGTGGATGAACCCCATTTCAGCCAGATGAACCCCAATCCAGAGCCCACATCCACATTTATTCTCCATGGGTCTGTAGTTTGGTTTGTTCACCTAAGGCCATGTCTGTCTGCAAAGGTCTGCCAAGAAGGGTTAAGTGTCCATAGGCATCATCTGCATCTCCCCTACAGACGAGGGTTCTCATTACCAGGTTTGTTAGTGAAGGTGACACTTGGTCCCTTCCCTGGTGGGCTCTACATCTTTTTTGGGGTCACCCTCATCTTATCATAGGGGTGTTTGAAGCAGAACTCCCCATGGCTTTGCAGAACGGAGCCCCAAGTTCATTGCTGCTTCTCTGTCTCCTGCAGTTGAGGCTCTTCAATGCAAAGTCTGCAAGTACAAGATCCCTTTCGTCGGATGTTTCCGGGGAGCGAATGAAACGACTTGTGAGCGGAGAGAGAAATGTGCCATCATTAGAACCTCTCTGGGTATGTAGCGGGTGGGTCAAAACCACGTGTCTCCTTTGGTTCAGTAGGGGTTGTCCTTGTCTTTGGAAAACCAAATTGGTTTGCAGAATGAATGTGGATGCAGTGATGGACCTGATGTGGGAAAGAGCTAACGCAAGGGGCCAAATTCATTCTCTCAATGGAGGCTGCCCTATGTATGGTTAAAAAAAAAAAAAAGTCCCTTTTAGGCAGGGACTCTGTCTCCCAAAGCAGCCATGTGAGTTTTGTCTGTGTGCGCATGCCTCAGCTCTTTCTCCTAATTAAAACAAGCAAGGTGTGACCTCATTTGGGTGCGCTATTTAAGGGGCTGGTTTCTCACCTGGTAGCTTCAAAGTTCACTGCTGATTGCTTATTAGTTTAGTGCTACTTTTGTCTAACCATGCTCCCTCTCTGCCCACCACCCCTGCAGGGAGGGTGACCCTCTATTACCAGCAAGGCTGCACCTCCGTGATGAACTGCGGCCGAGAACGGGCATCCGACGCAGAGTCCCGCCTGACATCCCGGTATTCCTTCTGTGAGACGGACCTCTGCAATGAGGAGTGGGATGAGGACCCCACAGACTAGCCTGCAGCAGGGGCAGCATCAGGGCTACTGATGTGGTCCAGCCATTTCAATGCTATGAGTCCTCAATTTAATCTTGAACAATTATCACTTTAAATTAGGATGGTTGGACCCACTCTGTCTTGCAGGGCTTCCCTATGCATCTGGCCTGATTTTGTTTCAGCTCTAGCAATAAACCTGCAGGCTTATAACTGGCAGCTGAATTTGGCTCATGTGCATGTTTTTCCTTCTCCAGATAGACACTCCTATTAACAGCTCTTCAGATTCAGCATTCCTGGTGGTCTGGAAGCAGCCTGTGGCCCTGAACATAATCCTGCTACTAAAACCCCAAGGGCAAGCCAAGGTGCTTTCCCCTGGTTGCATCCCATTTTTCTTCCTACAGTGCAGGGCTGGGAACTTCTTTGCTGGAAACTTTTCACCAAGGGTTGCAAAGGAGAGCACCAGGGAGCTGCTGGAAGCCAAGAGAAATAAAGGACATGTATATCTAATAGATATTAGGTATTTACTTCACCTGTGCTAACCCAAAATTCCCTTACTAGTCAACAGAAGTTGAGTCATCCATCTAATGTAGACAATAAATGGTCCTTCAGGAGGTACCAAACTCCTGCTGTTGACTTCAGATGAAACCTAAAGGAACAGCTTGATCCATTCAGGACGCCTGTAGTTGTTGCCTGCAGCCCAAAGGCCTTGAAGAGGAGAAGGCAATGCATTATAGGCAGTTTTAAAATAAATGGCCTTTTTTTAGCCTCACCCATATCTTTGAGGGCAAAACACCTATGGTGGGAGGAGAAACCATGAGCATAAAGTGTGGGAATTATGTAGAAGTGGAGATTCTGCTGTTGTTGCTGTCTGGTCTAGGAAAATGGGTATTTTGGACTTTTTCTTATTGCAGCACAAGGGAGGGGGGGGGGGAAGAAGAGAGTTTATTTTGTCTGAGGCATTTGTAGCTGGGAAGCTCAGTGCTGCAAGAACATATTAGCTAAATGACAGATCGTATCTTTTTAATGAGGATAAAAGAATCCTGTCCACTGCACTGGGCAGCAGAGGGATGTTCTTTGTGATTATTACCCCCTGAGGAGTTTGTTTTGCAGATAAACTGATGGCTGCAGAGGTTCCTATGTGGCTTGGGGCTGTAGGGGCTTCTTCCTTGTGTGGATACAGGTGTCTTCTGGAGTCAGGTTCAACTTCCAACCTGTTTCTAGAATGAGAAGTTTGGAGGAGACCCCTTCCAGCCTTGGGACTGAGCCCAAATCCCTGTCCATCCAGCCTTGTAGCTGGGTCCAGTTTTGGGGTAAGCAGGGGGAATTTCAGTGCAGGACAGTGACTGCTCGCACATGTCCTACCTGGAAGCACAGGCATGAGAGCCTAAACATGCTTGGACTAACCTAACATAGGACAAAACTTCAAAGGACAATCAGCCTGGGATGGTTTGGTACCAAAAGTCAGTCCTGCAAGAAACCATGCTATTGGGGTTGAACTTTTTTTTCCCCTGCCATCCTCCCTGTTGTTTTGGATGTCCCAACCTCTCCATACCTAAACAAACCACCCATGTTAGGTGGGAGATGTCCTGCAGGAGATGTTTCTGCCCTTCTTTGCATGGTGCTGCCCCAAATATGAGCTGGGAGATGGATCATTCATTGATGGCTTCGGGGGAGGGATGAAAAGCTTCACTCCTTCCTGAGCCCCTGCTCTTCTGGAGGGAAAGATGGAGAGGGTTAAAGGGCTGCAGAGACCCTGTGAAGAAGGTCTGGGCTGGGAGACAGGTGGAGGGAGGTGCTGGAAATGTGATCCTGGCTCTGGGCAGGGAAAAGAGCTTTGGCACAGAAAAGGAGAGCAGAGCCAGAGCTGCTGGGGAGGAGGAGGAGGGAAGGAGATTGGTGTGGGTGCCCAGGATAGATGCAATGGGGGAGGGGAAGGAATGGTAAGTGAGATGGGGCGGGGGGTGGCAGAGGGGACAAATGGGGCAACCGAGGGCTGGGAAGGAGCAGGAGCTTGAGCAGCGCTGAAATGTCAGAGGCATCCAGGGTCCGGGCTGATTTCCTTCATCAGAGCATGGTGGAGCGACTGCCCCGGGCTGCCTCCCGCTGGGACCCCTCGGCCACCAGGCTCGTCCCCCACCTGCCCTCCACTAGCACCCTCCCGATGCAAAAGGTCGGGCGATTCGGGAGGATGCCCCTTTCCTACGCCTCTGCTCCGAGGTACGTGGGGTCAGCTGGGGGCGTAGGGAGGGCAGTGGGATGCGCTTGTCTGTCTGTTCAGAGGTTGTCTGTCCTTTTCTTTTTCTTTTTTCCCTGCCCCCCCCCCCATACCCACCTTGTTCTCCTGCTTTTCCTACTGGGCTGCCCATCATTTCTGTCAAGGCATCTCACACTCTCTTTCTTTGCTATTTATGCATCGCTGGATAGCGTGTGGATTTCTCTCCAGCTCATAGGCCACCACCTCTTCCTTTCTGCAGAGATGCGAAGAAAAATGTGTGCATGTCATAGGAAAAATATATAGTTCGTGTTTATTTACAGATCAAGAGAAATGGAAAGTGGAAGAGAAAGCAATTTCCCTTCCATAGGGAATGGCGTGTATATAAATATCTATGAATGTATATGAGCAGGGGTAGGTAGAGAAATATGCACAGAGGTGGAAATGGTGGTCTGCAGAAAAACTCCTTTTCTGTAGGGAACTGTGTACATCTAAATGGATATATATTGCATATATAGGGATATATGTGTGTACATATATATATGCACCTACATATATATGAGTCTGTGTGAATATATACATATAAATATATATATTCTGCTATTTGCCCGAGTCATTTTTTCCATGTTATTTCCAATCACAAACTAACGTGGGTTGTAGCAAGCACTGGTATTCTGATTTTACTTTCCTGTGAGAAGATGAGGGATTCCTTTCCAAGCCCAGAATTGTATTTAAACTGACCTGAAAAAGCTCCTTTCTAGTCCCAAATGAGCAAATCTGGATTAGCAGTAAACGCATGCCTGAAGTCTGATGCTCCTGTTTAGCAGATGTTAGAAAATACAAATGCCAGAAAGATTTTAAAGCTACAAGAGAGGTTCAAGTGGAGGCTGGATATCCCCTCAGTGTTGTTCTCCAATTGCAAAGGTATCAGGATGAACACAACCCTTACTACAAATCAGGAACCCTTTGCAAACCTCCAGCATCAGGACACCAAGACTAGTTTTGCTAATATAACTCCTCCAGTACAACCTCTGGGGTTGGGATTTTTCTCCTCTTAGTTCCAGATATCTCCAAGGGAAAGATCTCAACTTGGAGATGTCAGATCAAGTGGGCTGACTTTGCAATGAGCATTTATGGATAGGATCACTTGATCTGTTTTCAAGTCCTCATTAGGAGAAGATGAATCACTTTCCAGAAATGCCTACATTTCTCTCTTGATGGGTAATGTGACCTCCCCTCCAAGTAACTAGATGACTGTCACTCACTTTTATCTCTGTTCTCCATAAAAAGAGCTTTGGTGAGCTGCTCAGGTGAAGACAACCATATTATAGGCAAACTCCAGCCAAGGAAGGTCCTCATATATTAATTATGACTCCCATTTAATGCAACACCTCCAAAGTTGCACAAAAATGTTCTTGGAAGGTGAAAAGTGTTTTTGAGATGCAGGACCCCAATCCAGAGGTTAATCTTCATGGATTTGGGAAACTCACCCCCAGATCTTGATATGGACTTTGCATCCGTGTGTATTCCCTTTCTCCTGTTGCTTTTTATGGTCCCTATTGAGCCCTGGAGCTCAACAAAGTCATCTGAGTCCCCAGCTGAGGCTTCCAGGATGAAATGGGTCTCTAAGAACAGCTCAGATGGTTACCTGGATCAGAGCCTAGAGCAGCTGTTAAACACAAGCCTGGGGACTCAGATCTTGCATTTAGCACCAGGTCAGCCAAAAAGCGATGAGACCCAGATCTCGTGTCCGTATCCCAAAAGATTTGCCCTTTTCCCACCTCCTGCCTGCAAAAAAAAAAAAGAAA